CGATTAAGCCTGCCTGTGGTTATGGTCTGGGCAGTGGGACTTTTAAGAGCTCCTAAGTCATTCTAACATGCAGCCAAGCATGTGAAGGAACCTCTGGCTTGGATAGTTCCTTTCCAGTTGAGGCTGGCAGTGGGTACAGCTATTGCTCACCAAATGCTTGCAGCCTCGCCAATAAAACTTGGCTCTGCTGAACAGAAGTGAAACCCCATCCATCATGAGTAATTTGGGGTCTGATGGGCCCATGCAAGAGGCAGTTTTACTGACAGTGGGTTTTACTACAACAGATAAAATTTAAGGTACAGAGAAGACTATTTGAACCAGTTAACATGGAATCATTGGGCTAGCTAGAGCTATACTGAGTACTAAGAATTCCTAACTATTCTTGGGCAGTGATTATCAAAGTGTGGTTCTCAAACCCACATCAACTTCATCTAGGTACTCGTTAGAAATTCAGATTCTTGGGTTATAATCCCAACTTAATGATCACAAACCCTGGAAATGAGGCCCAACAATCTGTGTGTATTTTTTAATTAAGTAAACTTCTTAAAAATCTTGAAATAATTACAGATTCGTAGGCAATTGTAAGAAATAATACAGAACAATCTCATCACCCTTTGCCCAATATATCCCAGTGGCAATATTTTGTAAATCTATAGTATCATAGCCAGGATGTTGACATTGATATAGTCAAGTTAAAATATAGAGTACTTCTACCATCATAAGGATCTCTCATGTTGCCTTTTATAGCCATATCCACTTCCCTCTTGCTGTCACCTACTTCTTAACCCCTGGCCACTATTATCCCCATTTGCATAATTTTATCATTCAACAATGTTATATAAGGGAATCAAACAATATAACTTTTGTGGATTGGCTTTTTTCACTCGGTACAATTCTTTGGAGAGTCATCCAGGTGGTTGTGTGAATCAATCAGTTTGTTTCTTTGTATTGCTGAGAAGTATGGATGTTTGAATAACCATTCACCTACTGCAAGCCTGTTTCAACAAGCCATCCAGGCAATTCTGATGCATGTTTGTTTTTAAGAACCTCTGGTCTCTAGACAAAGAACTTAAAAAGATAGGGAAGAAAAAAAAAAAAAGCATTTTTCTACTTCCACTTTCTACTCACTGATCTTATGGGTCTTCTCAAAGTGTATGGGAAACCACTTCTTTTCATCTTCATCACTACTGTTAACACAATATTCTACTATGGTTGCTATGCATTCCTTCAAGGACTGATGCATTTATTTAAGAAATGTGTATTGTGGTACCTCCTAGTAATTGTTCTGGGCAGCAGGAAGACAGCAATGGAAAGGGTATACAGGTCCTTTCTCATGAATTACTTTCAGGATAGTGATGCCAGAGCAGACAATAAAGTCAGGTCAAAATAAATGCCATCTGCTTACACCCCTCTTGAACATAGGTGAAGCTCCATCATGAGCACCTGGATTCTGATGAGCCCACTCAAATACATGTTTGAATCTACTAGTCACTGTGGAAAGATTTTGTATTTAGGAATTTTATTTTAGATGAGAAAGAGATACTCAGGAAAATATCTCGTAAGAGCAAAATCCTGGAGATACTCTAAATATTCAATACCAGCAAAATACTTATGCAAATTGTAGTGGACCCACTCTAGAGCATATTGATTCATTAAATTGATGATTAGTCAGACCAAGTAAGTAATAGCATGAAAATACCTATTTAATATTACCTAGAAAAAATCAAGATACTGAATTATATATACTATATAATTCTAATAATATTTTAGAAAGAAAGATTAAACTTCAGATAAATGAATGAAAAAACTTTGGAAGAATATAACTGTAATTATGGCTATCAGGATACTGAGTTTACAGATTCTTTCTTTTTTTTAAGTCTATAATTTTCACTAAATTTCATTATCTTTTAACCTGTTTATCTACATACATATAAACGTTTTTAAATATTAATAAATGTTGACATTCTGACAAGTTAGTGACTTCTGTGTCTTTACACTCAGGGAAGAAAAGCTATGAAGGCAATAGAGCCACTTTCTACAATATTAATTTCAGTAGACCAGGGTGGACATGGTGAAGAAAAAGATTCTTCAGAGTCTTCCCAGTATACTGGTGCCTAGTTGTATTGCTCAGTATGCATCCTGCATTATGAAAATCTCCTGGCTAAAGCAGAGTTTACTAATGTCCCCAGAAATTTGGCTTAATATTACAATTTCATAAGAAAATGAGAAATAGCAGAAGGATGGCCAAGTAGGAATCATGTCCCACAAATGACTCTGCAATGTCTTCTTAGCTCTGTCAAGGGAATGGGTATATTCCTCTCAGTAACCATGGCAAGAATCAAAACACATTTGCCAAAAATAGGTGGAGAATACCTACTTAGACATGTTTGTGATATCCTAAAAAGTCTTTTAAGTCCTTACAGAGCTCTTTTTTAAAAAAACTAAAATTTTACCCACAACTAGAACTGACAATTAAAATTTCATTATAAAAACCAATTTTGGGTGATCTGAGAAGGGTGAATGACAATGTCAGAACTTTGCAGCATCTTGAGCTTAATTACCAAGGTTGAATTCATGGAGAAACAATCTAAGACAAGCAGAAGATATGTTGCTATGATGGTTAATTTTATGTTACAACTGGACTGGGATAAGGGATGCTCAAACAGCCAGTTAAACATTATTTTGAGTGTGTATGTGAGGATGCTTTTGGAAGAGATTAGCATCTGAATCTGTAGACTTGGGTAAGAAAGATCCACCCTCACCAATGTAGACAAGCATCATCCAATCCACTGAGGGTTGAAATAGAGCAGAAAAGTTGGAAGAAGGGTGAATTCTCTCTCTTTTCTTGAGGTTAAAATATCCATTTTCTCCTATACCCTCAGATATCAGAGTTCCTAAGACTCATACCTTCAGACTCTGGGTCTTAAACCAGTTGTCCCTCGGGTTTTCAGGCCTTTGACCTTGGATTGAGAGTTCACCATTAGCTCCCTTAGTTTTCAGGTCTTCTGATTTAGACTGAATTATATCACTCGTTTTCCTGGTTCTCAAGTTTGTTGATGGAATATTATGTAACTTCCCAGCCTTCACAATTACATGAATCAGTTTCCATAAGAAATGACTTCTTATATACCTGTGTATCTCCTATTGGTTCTATTTCTCTAGAGAACCCTGACTAACAAAGCTGTCTACATGTATGTATAATTTTTGGTGCTCAATAACAAAGTTAATAATCAGAAAATAATAAATAAAAGCAAATTAGGAAATCTGAAAAAAAAACCCAATTATTTAACATCATCCTCAGCACTCAGAACAAAATGATATATTTAAATCTCAGCACGTAAAATAATTCAAAACACTCATGAGGCTGATATTCTATCCTAGGCTGTGTGCTATGGGAAAAGACCAATAATCAAGGAACTTATTGAACATATGGATGCTGATTTGCATGAAAGAGTCATGGAAAGGACCAGAAGCAAAAGCTGATATTGGCTGTAGACCAGAAGGACCAGTCAGAAACCAAAGACTTTTTCATTCCCTAATCTCTGCAAAATCTTCCTCCTATGTTTTGTAGAACACAAGTCTCAGAGCTCTCTAGCTTTTGTTCCTAACTGCTACTGTATCAATTTCCACCTCCCAGCCTGCCCTCCTTGCTGTCTCTACTAGTATGGCTAGAATTTAGGATATGGGAAGAATCACCAAGCTGACATTTGATTGATTATACGTGTATATGAACTGTGAGTATTTTAAAACTTCTGTTCCTTCAAACAGATTGCATTGGAGATTAGAGATTTCTATTTGAACTCTCTACTATAGCTACAGTAGAATTATGAATAAAACAGTAATAGTGAACATTTATTAATCACTTATAAATATCAGGCACTGTCTTAAGAACTTCATATTAGTTCAACTACCATTTGATGTTGATACCACCATTTTCTCCATGTTATAAATACAGAAATTGAGATTTAGGATGATTAAACCACTTGTTTAGGATCACAGTGAGGTAATGGCAGGGGCTGGGATGTAGGGGAACAGTAGAGAAGGAATTCACACTCAGGTCCTCTAAACGTGAGTCTGCATGTTTTACCATCTAGAAGACCCCTTGGATAACTTTGCTTACAGCTATCAAAAACTTCTTCTGATTTTCAAACAAAGTCATCAGCTCCAATTAAGAGAGGTGGAAATTTGCTTTTGTCCATGATGGTTTGACCAACTCAGGCTGGTATGTGAGTCTCTTATCTAAAGCTTGGGTGAAGTTAAAATCAGAGTTATAAAATACATTGCATCAGAAGACCCTGTAAACCAGAGTTTGGGGCAGGATTTTACATATTTTCTTGTGTATACAAGAGGGACAAATGTATGTTTAAAAGTTCAAGGATAGGGCAAATGGTGGGGAAGATAGTGCAAGTATCATTCTACTACTATATCTGGCCATAGGGAGAGGAGTTTAAATTCGTGACAGGTCTTGGCATTGTGAAAGACACCCAACACTAAAGCTAAAAGACAAGTCTAAATGCCACGTATAATGAAATCTTAGCTGTCAAAAATAATTTGCAGATGTAGAAAGTTCTCCAAAATCTGTCAGGATGAACAATAATACATGATTGGGTCCACAAACAAGTTTACCATTCATTTTGGCAGTGCCAGAAAATGTACAGCCACAGTGGGGCTTATATGATGAGTAATATAGTAATGTTTAAAAAGAAAGAAGCAATGATACTGATATTGCTTCATATTAAAAATTTTAACATTGTTTAGAAATCATTTCCTAAAAACTCTAAGAATGGTTATGAGTGGATGTACTCAAATATGAAGAAATACTCTTGGTTTTTTTTTTTTTATAGTCACATATTCAGAGTCAGTTTGTTACTATGGAATCACATATGATGTCATAAATTTGACATTCTAAATGCAAACTTAGAGCAACAGAAACAACAGGAAATGGAGCTGGGGAGAGGAAAACCTGCATAACAACAAAAGAAATTCAAGAGTGAAAAGAAATGAGTCAAACATCTCTGAAACAAAAAAAGAAGGTGAGTGAATTGAATGGTCCTAGAATCTTGCCATAGAGCTAAGAAAATGCAGACATCAACAAATGTAAATACCATTACCTCTGGGAATGTTCTGCAACAATTAAATCATTTCATATACTGACTACAAGTGAAGTAAATGGAAAGAAAATAAAGAATATGAAAAATGGAGCAAAAGAGGATTAAAGCATTCAGGAGGGATCCCTGGGTGGCTCAGTGGTTTAGTGCCTGCCTTTGGCCCAGGGTGTGATCCTGGGGTCCCGGGATCTACCCTGGAGTCCCAGGATCGAGTCCCACATTGTGCTCCCCGCATGGAGTTTGCTTCTCCCTCTGCCTGTGTCTCTGCCTCTCTCTCTCTCTTTCTCTCTCTCTCTCTCTCTCTGTATCTCTCATGAATAAATAAATAAAATCTTAAAAAAAAAAACCTTCAGGATAAGTCAATCTAATAATTCAGCATTTATTGAGCATATGCTTATATGTTAGTGACAAGAAGTGAAAATACTCTATCTTTGAAGAATGCACAGCATAGTAGGAAAGAGAATACATAAACAAAGTACAATTCAGTGCTCAGTAAAAGTACGTACAAAAAACACAGGCAACACAAAGGAATGTGTTGCCTGTGCAACTTCTCCCAGGTCATGCTGAGATGCATTTTGAAGAACATTAAAGAGAAGAGGAGGTTACAAGGAAACAGGTTGATATGTAGGCAAATACAAGTCATTTAGCACAAGCAAACATACCTATAAAAGTGTACAGTGGAGGGCAAGTTGGAGGTAGACAGGATACACCATGAGGCTCCTGGTCAATAAAAAAAAAAAAAAGTGAGTGAAGAGTGTACCAGAAATGAAGCATAATTGGATTTATGTTTTATAAATATCACTTTAAATAGATGGGGTCTATGGATCTAGAAATCAGGGAGGATTTGAGGTTATGAAGCCTAATCAAAAGTCTATAATTCTAAGAATGAAGGCCCATAATGATCTGAGATCTGGAACAAGGCAATGATAATAGGGACAGAGAAGAGGAACTGAGTTTTAAATATCTTTTGCAGTTATAAATGACAGGATTTCATGGTGATGATGTAAGGAATGGCTGGAAGGGTTTCAGGATCAGTTCTAGGACCACACACCTCTGCCATTCTCTGTAGGCACAGACTCAAATGTCCAACTAACACTGATGCAAAAAGGAAATAGTATATGTGCTGCCGAAGCGAGCACGCAAAAAGGAAATAATGCACATGCTGCTCCTGAGCACATTGATCCATATTAGAAGATGAGCTCTTAAAATAGGAAATAACAATAGTCTTGATCACATTATAGCTACTGAGTTAGCGTGAAACAATACAAATAATGCTCCAATACAATGATATTTCCCACAGTTGAAAATAAACATATTTGAATAGTGACCATGACATGAATTATCTCCCTGTTCTCGCCTAACTAGCTTAGCTTGTTCACAAGAAACCTCTTTTCATCCTAGCTGGTATGAACAATTAGAAAATATGTACAGAAGGTTAGATCTGCACAGGCTTAATAACCTTGATTTTAAAAATCCAGCTAATATTGGTGAGGCTTAGATCCACAGAAGATTGGAGTTCAGGTTTATTAAGAAAAGAAACAGGGATCCCTGGGTGGTGCAGCGGTTTGGCACCTGCCTTTGGCCCAGGGCCCGATCCTGGAGACCCCGGATCGAATCCCACGTCGGGCTCCCGGTGCATGGAGCCTGCTTCTCCCTCTGCCTGTGTCTCTGCCTCTCTCTCTCTCTCACCGTGTGCCTATCATAAATAAATAAAAAATTAAAAAAAAAAAAGAAACAAAAGAAGTTTCATGGCCAAACGAAAAGTTCCTTAAGTAGCAATCTTTAGAGTAGTAGAGAAAATAAATGTTATTCTGTATGAGTAATTTCACATTTAAATCAAAGTCCTACTGAGCTCTGGAAAGACATCCCACAGTATTTCCTCTGGCATCATTTTTTAAAATGATAAATGCCTCATGCCTCAAATCTATAAACCAACAAATTTATATATTAAAAATTGTTTATATAGCTCTCTGATATGTATTATTTTTATTTATGCCTCTTAGAACAAGACGGAAAATGTCTAAAATGCATACATGTATATACATATATATATGTACATATGTTTCTTTATATTGGCAAAGAGACAAATTCTAATTTTTGTTTATCCTTTTATTCCTAAACCCAAGGTTTCTTATGCTCCTGTGATTAATTAATAAACATTCTTTGTTTCCATATTAAGAATGAGACTGGATCGAAGAACTCAAAAGACAGCATAGACACAGAGAAAAGAAAGGATTCTGACAAATCAGGAGTTCGTCTGAGCACTCAGGTGAGCTGACCTCTTAAGAGTTGGTAGAGAATAACAGAGCAGAAAGCATAACAGAAAATTTGAGGGGGCAGGGACGTTCTGGAAGATAAGACTGAGCTTCCAAGATTTCTATTAAGGGATATCTAATATCCTTATGGAGAGGCTAAGGACAAACTAGGAGAAGCTGGTGCCTGCTTTCCCCACCAGTACACATCCCCATGTTCATGTAGAATATATAATTAGAAACCACAGCCACCTTCTCTGCTCTGCCTATGGGAGGAGACTGGTCTTTGTTCAAATCAGGGAGGGCAGGGGAGTCTGGCCATCGCATTGACCATTTTCTGCACAATCTTTCAGATGAGGCGTGCAGTCAGTCCGAATCACTTGCTGAGATGTTGCCCCATGCGAGGTCACTCGTCGTGTAGACGCTGCCTTTGTGCAGCTGAGGGAACAGTACCTCTTGGCCCTTGCCGCACAATACGTATTTATATTCACATGTGCCTGTTGTGGGAGCAGGGCCGGCAGATCACCATGATCAGGGTGAGCAGAGATCAAACTACTGATTTTGGAGGGGAGCCACAGGCAATCTGGGTGAGGGGAAGGATATGGGGAATAGAAACTCTTCCACTTGCCTCTCCATAGGATCCTCCAGTTTGATTCCTCCCAAAGGAAAAGCTATAGAATGCTCTATTCCCTCTTAGGCAGCTGCTTGGGAGCCCTGCTGCAGCCTCACTTAGGTGCTAGCTGCCCTCATCTTTGTAGTGTGCTCAAAAATGGTAAATATATATGTCTTCCTAGCTTCAGCTAACAGGCTTAACCTTAAGGGAGAAAATGAGAAAAAGGGAAGGAAAATGGTCAACTCTGCCATCTTCCATTTAAGAAGAGCCACAGGTGAAAAAATATGAGACATCAGATTTGTTTCTTAGTTTTGGATTCTCCTCCAGGTAGATCTCTATTTTTTTTGCTCCTTGGAGAGTTTAGGATTGGGCCAGAGCTAGAATAGCATGTAAGGGCCAAGGTTGAGTTAAGCCATATAGGACAAGGACCTTCTCTTTGGGCTCTGCTATGTTCAGCTTGAAGTAGTTGTTCTGTAGGCATGTGCATGGCAGGAGTGGGTGATGGGGTGTTACATCCCTGGGTCTCTTCTCTCCTCCAAAGGGATCACAGGAATTATCATTGCCAAAGACTGATTCCCGAGGGTTCCTTGTGCGAAATCAGTGGTCCCGAACTTCACGGAGCCCATCTACCAGAGGTCCATCAATAGACGAACCCAGAAGCAAGAGCACCAGTCTTAAGGTAGAGATGGATATAAAATTATGGAGAACATGATATAATAATAATAGTTAACATTTATTGATGCTTTCTATGTGCCAGGCCCCTCTATGTACTTCACATGTTTTAGCTAATTCAATCATCATTAAAACAAACAAACAAAAACCCCATAAGCCCCATTTTAAGTTGAGAAAATTGACACAGAGTAACTTACCTAAGATCTCACATTAATAACACTAATAGAGGTAGATTAAAGCCCAGGGTCACAAGGTCTATAAGCTGTACACTTAATGATTAAGCCCTTTGGCTTCTCCCTTTTTTCCTTCTTTCCTTCCTTCCTTCCTTCCTTCCTTCAACAACTATTTACTGAATAATCAAACCTTAGAAGATGGAGTGGAAAAATCAACAAAAGAGATAAATTGTTGAAAAGTGTTAGATTGTGTGTTGTTTTGGTCCCTTAACTAGGCCTGGCCCCATGAAAAGAAAATGTTAGTTTTGAGATCAAGTTTTTGATACAGGGAGAGACAAGACACAGACCTAGCCACTAGGAAACATGTATCTCTGTGAAAAGTGGCTCAATAGTCTAACCAAAAATATGCCTTTTGAAACACATGAAACAGTCATAAAAACTGAAATAATATATAGATGCTTAATAATTCATTGCACACCTTCATAAAGGTATTTTTTCTCTAGAATTCTTCCTTTTTACTTAGGAAGATGATTCTCTCCAAATGAGCTCCATTGGCACATAGAGTTCTTTTCTTTACTTTTATTTTTTTAAGATTTTATTTATTTTTTCATGAGAGACACAGAGACAGAGGCAGAGACAGAGGCAGGCTCCCCATGCAGAGCCCGATGTGCGACTTGATTCCAAGACCCCAGGATCAAGACTTGAGCCAAAGGCAGATGCTCAACCACTGAGCCACCCAGGTGCTCCAAGGCACACAGAGTTCTGAAGGCAATGGAGAGATGCTTGGTTCTCCAATCCACCAACCTTCCCAGCAATCATGGCATTAATCAGAGGGCAATGTAGAGAGAGGTACCTCCAGGTGTTTTATAGAGTCTGCTGGTGAGAACGTCTGGTCTAGTTGCTCATAGAATTAACTGGAGGTCACAGGTGAAGGCAGTGGTGAGCAAGGACCTGTATTCAAGCCCTCCATCCTACCTGGAGGTCTCTGAGCAAATGCAAAGGAAGCAACAAACGTTGCAAACTAAGTGCCAGCTGCCTAAGGGCAAGCAAGGAAGAAGACCTGTGCCCTATCAACTCCAAAGGGGGAAAAAAAAAAAAAGCTTGAGGTGCTGGAGGAAGGTAGAGGGAAATAAGAACCGTCTATCTCTGTGTCCATGTAACTGAAATAGCCAATAACTGGGGCCTTGAAACATCTGAGCCCCTTCAAGCCCCACTGAAAGGAGCTAGGATTGACTAGGATCAAATTAAGGGCTATGAATGGATAGAGGGGAGGGGAAGGCTCCTTGACTCCTCCTGGTTAGAGATGGGGACAGATACGCATCTAATGCAGACTCACTTTCTTGCTCCAGCTCCCCAATAGCTCCACGACCTCCCGGACTTCATCAGCCTCCCCTAGCCAGCACGAGTCCCCAGAGCAGCTGTCAGAGCAGGCCTCTCCGCCCACGCCACCTCTGCCATCCACGCCGCCCATGCCTCTCGACTCCCGTCCTCCCACTCCCCCGGAGCCCCATAGCTCATCCCGGCGCAGCACCAGGATGCATGAGAATCCCGAAGCCTGGGCTCACGGCATCGTGCGGGATATCCGCGACTCCCGGGAGTCTTCGCAGCTGCGGGATTACCCACGCACGCCCCCCACCGAATGGAAGTCGTATTCCCAGCGCAGATCGACTTACTCCTCTCAGCTGGACCGCGACTGTCTGTCCGAACTGCCTCAACCACCCCGGCAGCACCAACGGGAGGAAGAGGAGGAGGAGGAGGAAGCCTACTGGGCCTCGGTGAAAACTCTGTATGAGAAGATCCCGAGCTGCTCGCGCCCCCGACCGGTGAGAAGGGTCCGCCCACCTGGTATCTGAGACTCCCCTCCACTCAACCCTGCAAGCCTGAGTCTCCCCCAGCCTCCCTCCTCTCCAATGTGTAGGAAGTCCTGCCCAGCTTCTCCCCTACCCCTGCAGCCTTAGGAGTTGGAGGGAATCCCAGCCCTTGGCTGTCTCCAGCATCCCAGGGCTCCAACAGGGGCCTCGCTGTTTTCTTCCCACCTTGCCTTGGCATGAGCCCCTTTCCTGATCCCTTCCATCTGTGTGGCTGACTGTCCTCCCAATGGCGCCCTTCTCTGTAGCCCAAACCCAAGAATGCTATCACCATCGCTGTGTCATCCCGGGCTCTTTTCAACATGATGGACGGCAGGAAAATCTACGAGGAAGAGGGTCTAGAAAAGTACATGGAATATCAGCTCAACAATGAGAATGTCATCCTGACCCCAGGGCCTGCGTTCCGCTTTGTTAAGGTACGCTGTTATACTGTGTTTGGAATTGCAGGACCCCGGATGCAGAGGGAAGGACCCATGAAAACCCTTGGGATCTCATCCAGGTTCCCAGATAATTCCTGGTCCACTCTTGTAATCCTTGTCTTTTTCAAATTGACCCCAGGTCAGCTTATGCTTCCAATAGAGGCTCATAGACTGATGAGAAAGGGCCTCCAGTTCTAGATTTGGGATGTTGAGATGGCCTCAGTGCAGTTCTAATCATGACACCTTTAAGAAACACCTTTGTTTCCCTCCTAGAAGGAATGGTAACCAGAAGCAATAATGAGTTTACAATCCCTGTAGTAGAAACAAAATGCCTCATTAAAATGAGATGAAATTCACTTTAGCTGCTTTTGATCCAAATATAACATATTAAGGAAATCAAGATGATCTTGGTTGACATGATTTTAATTGAAAATGTAAGGTTCTCTGAACTCCTAACACTGATCCCCTATATAACTTATACAAATGTTACACAATAACATTATAACCAGGCAGAAATAAATGCCACTTCTGCAAGGTGTGAGTAGGAAGTGATTTTCTTTTAAAGATTTTATTTACTTATTCATGAGACACAGAGAGAGGCAGAGACATAGGCAGAGATCCTGGGACTCCAGAATCACACCCTGGGTGGAAAGCAGGCACTAAACTCCTGAGCCACCCAGGGATCCCTGAGTAGGAAGTGATTATAGGGCATTTTAGAAGTATGGGAAGAAACTACTAACCTATTCTAAAGACTCATGTTTAGAAAATAGACAAAGCGTGTTGGTAGCATGTATTCTAAAATTGGAACAATACAGAAACCATTAGCATGTCTCCTTTGCAAGGATAATATGCAAATTCAGGAAGCATTCTATAGTTTCACAATAAATGATAATCACCAGATGATAAAGAAAAGCAGATTTTAGAAATAAAAAAAATTAGACAAAGCATGAGAGGGTTTTATCCCAATCCTTTTCTCTGCCTACCCCACAGAGAGAATTCTAGGAAACCAAATGTAGCAATTTTCAACAAACATTACCTATCTATTCAGTAAACATTAACTGAAGTCCTTTGCATAAGAGGCTGAAAGTACAGAAATGAGTGGCATAACCCCACCTTCAAGGAACCACGATCTCTCAGTGAAGAGTCTTCAGAGTTTGAATTTGACACCAATGATATCTTTTCTCTCCAGACTTCAGACTTCAATGCCCACCTTGCCTGGCCCTCTTTACATGCATTCATGTTTGTAACCTGCAGGCACTGCAGCATGTCAATGCTAGACTCCGTGAGCTGTATCCTAACGAACAGGACTTATTTGATATTGTACTGATGACTAATAACCATGCCCAAGTGGGAGTGCGGCTTATAAACAGCGTCAATCACTATGGTAAGTAAAATAAATACCATGTGGAAGAACAGCTTGCTGCTCTGGAAGAGAGAAGCCATGTTATTTTGCTAACTGTGGCCTAACTAATGCAGTGTCTTTGATACTGAAACCCCCCTCTGCGTGAGGAATGTTTATTTGCCTATGTCAGAGAAAGAGAGGCCATGTTCATTTTTAACTTCAGCATAGAGTTGGGCCGAAAGCTCTGGACTTAACTTGTCAAGTGTGAATTTCAAAGTCTTAATCCCAGCTCCCGCAATATATTTCTCTGTTTTATGTTTTTCACTTCTAAACTTGACTTCAAGGAGCCATCAACCCAGAGGCTTTCCCTGTGTGATCAAACCTCTTGCTCACCACAGATCCGTGTTTGAGGTTTACGGGTTTTCACCTTTCCTGGCCACTCTTACAATCTGATTCTCCCTGACTGCTCTCCTCACACATCAAATCCATATCCATGCCAGCAAAATTATCTTTGTTCCTTAATATGGAAATTTTGATTGACTCTAGGTTCTTCATGGCATTTCCATCAGCATATTGGATACTTTAAGAGAAAATCCCCATTTTCCTGTTATGGAATTACTCGACTTGTTATTTGGGGAGCTTTAGACTATTTTCTAAGTACCTATCCAGGTTTATGGATATGTCAAGTCAAAGTAACATTGAACTTTTGCATATTTAAATTCAAGGTTTAAAGTGGGCATAGTTATAAATAATCCAGCTGTCTTACAACTTATGAGTTTTACATTATCCTAATTATAAGTCTGATGTCTGAGACATACTTTAAAAAATGGTTGCCTTTCAAAACAGCAGCTTTCATAGTGTTACAACCTGAGAAGAGATCATAGTACTCATCTATGCTAAACCTTTTATTTTTTACAACACACAGTCTTACACAATTTAGTAGGTAACCTGGGTCTATCGATTCTTCACCAAACTGAGCCCATCAAGGGCATAAGAAATCATATGTACCTATCAGTTCTGCTAATGAGCTGGTTGAGTTCATCTTCTCAAGCAACTTTATTCATGAAACAATAGGCTTTCACCTGGAAGAGTTAGTTTCTTCCATTATCTGGGTGCTGAAGGCAATTTGTATCTCCCTCTGCTATGACCTATTACATTATCATTTCTGTTTTACATGCCTGGCTCTCAGTGAACTGTGATCTCCTTAAAAAGGGAGATGATGTTTTAATTGCTTCTGAAGTCCTCAATGCCACCAAATTATTTCTGATCATTAAATTAATATTATTTAAGGGTTTGACGAATACACTTTTGTGTCACTTATGCCCAATATTGGCTTAAGTGAAAAAAAAGGTATTTTGTTAATATCATAGCAAACACTTCAACCTTAACTGTGGATGGATGGACCCTACTATTCTGTTAATCCATACAGAGGAAAAACAACTGACAAGACACAAAATTCTACTTTATATCACATACAGCTACACAGTTCACTATGTATCCACTTTGAATGGATATATACTATCATATGCATAATGTTATGCTTTATTTAATTGTTCTCAAATCATTAGAGTGTTGTGCTCTTATAAACAATCTTGAACTGAGACCTTTACACGTAAATCTATATCAGAGTTTCAGTTTATTCCCTTAGAATAAGATAGAAAATGTCAAAAAGTATAAACCAATAAAAGCTCTTGATACATATTGTCAAATTACTTTCTAGATAGCTTGTACCAGTTTATACTTTCATCTAAAGTAAAAATAGGTGCCTATGTCACAAACCTTTCACCAATATCTAGCATTTGTTTTTTAATTGTTATTGATTCGAAAGACACATAATGGCATTTTAATATTTAGTGTAATTTTAAATTATATTTAAAATTTCAAGTCAAGGGACACTTGGGTAACTCAGCTAAGCAGCTGGTTCTTGGTTTTGGCTCAGGGCAAGATCTTGGGGTCCTGGGATCAAGTCCTCAGGGAGGGGGTCAGCTTGAGGATTCTCGGGATTCTCTCTCCCTCTGCCCTCCCCCACCCCACCCCCCGTGCTTGGTTTCTTTCTCTTTCAAATAAATAAATCTTTAAAAATAAATAAACAAATAAATATATACAGTTTCAAGTCCAGAAACAATTTCAGACCTTTTGTTGTTGTTTTCAGAAAACAGCTTAAACCCTAGCAGTGCTTGTCATTACTATTGTATTGTCCCTCCAGAAATACAGAAATAGTGCTTAAAATAAAGCCACACATTAACTATCTCTTTCAACAAGTAAAGAGCCTGTGGTTGAAGGAAGAGAACTTTGTCTAGTCTAGTCACAAGAGTCACTGTGAATCAGTGGGCTTAGACAAATCTTTGTGTCTCAATATCCTTTTCTGTAACAATGATAATAATGCCTATCATACAACTGTTGTGAGTGTAAATTGGCATGGTCTATGTGAACATACTTAATAAGCTATCATACACCAAACACATTCACTATTATATAAAATAATAATATAATTTAAAATATAATTGTTATATGTAACACAGCAGTTTTTTATTATTAGTGCTACAAAGGTAATTCTAAAACCTCAATAAGGAAGTTATTCCTAAGGTTATTCCTCAATTATTCCTAAGATAACTTTGATTTACATTTAAAGTAAGGATATTGTCTCTGACATAACAAAGTCTTTCTTGCCCAATAATAGGCTTACTAATTGACCGCTTCTGTCTGACCGGTGGAAAAAGCCCCATTGGCTATTTGAAGGCATATCTTACCAACTTGTATCTTTCTGCAGATTCTGAAAAAGTACAAGAAGCAATACAAGAAGGTATTCATTGGGTTTTATCCCTCAAGTTAATAAAGAGGTTTGCACTAGTGTGGACTTTCATTGGGCTTCATATATGATTATATGGCTATGTCCTTGTTAAATTTTCTGCTAAGGTGTTTCCACAAGTCGCAGCCCCTAAATCCGTCTTTTAGAGCTTTTGACCTTCTTGGAAGTGGACATTCTCAGTGATTGTCCTAAACCCATTTTACACTTTCCCATCCATTACAGAAATGGAGGCAGTGCATAGACAACTGTTTTGAGATGTGTGGTTATAAAGAGCAATTGAGTCATCAGGTTAGCTAGACAAAAATATTGTGAGGTCTGGGCGGACCTTTTTTTTCTTTTTCTTTAATCATTAAAATGGTAGAAGAAACTGATGCCCCTGAGAAAAGTATTAATAAATCTCCATGGTCTGCCAGGGATCGCCTCTGCAACAATGTTTGATGGAGCTAAAGACATGGCTTACTGTGACACACAGCTCCGTGTGGCCTTTGACGGGGATGCCGTCCTCTTCTCTGACGAATCTGAACATATTGCCAAGGAGTATGGGCTGGACAAATTCTTTCAACATGAAACACTATTTGAAAATAAGCCTCTTGCTCAGGTAGGTTCAGTGAGTTCTAATTATTTTTCATCTGCCTATTTTCTAAAATACAGATATACATAGTTTAAATTATTTTAGGCAGGCCACTCCTCATTTCTTATTCTTTACACTTTGCTCCCTTTCTTATCCTTCATACTTTTCTCCCTTTCATGAACTCCTCATTTTGAAACATCTACTAGTCTGTTGGGTTTTTTGTTTGTTTGTTTGTTTTGTTTTAGCATTCTTTTATCTAGCCTTTTTGGAAGTGTTTCTATGATGTTCTCGTGATAATGAGTTCACCTCCAAATTATAAGTAATAGAGGTAATATGGTTTACCAGTGAGCCATTTCTACATAATAAATTCCCAGAATAGTAAAATGATTTCCAATAGGTCAGTAAACATTTGTGGACCTCTTTGCCCATAAACCTCAAACTCACTAACAGCATTACTTAATTGAGAAAATCTGCACAACTGAGAGCTCAAATTGAATCAAAATAATGAGCCTCAAACAAGTGCAAGCTATGAACACCTAATCAAAATGAAACTGAATATTTCGTTTTTTTGGAATCAGTCCATGAACTGAAGTGTTAAAGTCACAGTCTGAAATGAACAAAACTTACAACTTCTGAACCAAAGAAATCTGAAACATCAAAATATTCTCCAAACTGAGTCTGAACTGATGGGTTATTTAATTTTAATCTAAGAATTTTACCAAAGAATTGGTATTTTTTTTCTTAGCTCTTCTAGAACTTAAGATAAACTTAAAGTTGTTATTTTCATTACACTTCTAAAAATATAAATAGACCAACTGAAAGCTGAAAAGTTTCACTAACTCACCTCATGTTATAGCAAGTGATATTTAAACTGTGTGTATGAGAGAGAGAGAGAGAGAGAGAGTGTGTGTGTGTGTGTGTGTGTGTGTGTGTGTGTGTGTACATGCATATAACTTCATGGCCCCTCCATAATAGCTTCTTTGAAGCCTTGATCTTATGTTATGAAGTTGCTTAATGCTAACAAATTGAGAGGAAAGTCTTTTGTTGTATTTTACTTAAAGTCTGCTTTGCTGAAATTCAGAGGCCATTGTATAGTAGCCTTTAACTATTACTGAAATTTGGAAGAGTTCCAGAAAAAGAACACTTAAAAAAAAAAACTTCAAAAACATAATTACTTCAAGATAATCTTAAAATATCATTTTCTCATTACAGGTAAATAATTCAAATTTCTTTTAGATTTGGCATTAATCATTTCCCTTTTCCAAGTTAAAGAAATTTTTCTTCCCATTAAACGATTGAAATTTTGAAGCCCAATACTAGTTATTACTGGAATACCCAACAAATTTCTATTAAACCTACTTGTTTCATTATGCAGTCCTTCTGGCAGTGGATAAAGATGTTGGGTTTGTTTTTTTTTTTTTTTTGTTTTTGTTTTTTTTTTTTACATAGAAGAGGGTAGCTTTTCTATAAAGACCAGGCTTTGCCAGTGTGTTCCACTGATGAGAAAGACGTTATGAGGTGAAATTACTGCCCAAACCTTTCAAGTATGTTGATCATGGGACTTGCGGCTTGGTCATGACAATGTTCTAGTCATCTCAGATGGAGTAGACAGCTGGACAGGATTAACTTGTCCACTCAGTGCAATTTATAAGCCTCCAGTGTGGCACCACAGCAAGTAACAGACATTTCCTGATTTGATGCCTACCTCATCTCACCATTCTCAGCCAGTGGTCTCCAATCGTGTGTGTGTATGTCTGTGTTTTAATCAGAAATATTGAGGTATAATTTAGATATAGTGAAATTCATAATTTTTAGTGGATGCTTCTAAACGTTTTTTGACAAGTGTATACAATTATGAAATGATGACCAAACTCAAAATACTCATTATACTCACAAAATTCCCTCATGCATCTTTGTAGACATCCTACCCTGCAATCTTCAGGATCTATCTCTCCACTACTAATTTGATTTGTTTCCCAAAGTTTTTCCTTTTCTAGATGTCACATTAATGGAACCACACAGGATATAATCTTTTGAATTTGACTTCTCAAATAAGAAAAAAGATACATCCACGTCATTCCATGTATTAGTAGTGTCTATTCCTTTTTATTGCTGAGTACGAGTCTCTTTTATGACTGTACCACATTTTCTTTGTCCATTTACCTGTTGGGTGGATATTTAGCTTATTTCCAATTTTTGGCATTTATAAATAAAGCCACTTTAAGCATTTGGATACAAGGTTCTATATAAACTTAAGATCTGATTTCTCTTGAGTAAATAACTAGGAGTAAGATTACTAAGTCATATGGTATATATGTCGCTAGGTCATATGTTTAACTTTGTAAGATACTGGCAAACTATTTTCCAAAATGACCAGATAGCTTTGCATTCCCAATAGCTCTATATGTGAGATTTTGTTGCTCTGCATCCTTAACAGTATTTCGTACTGGCAAGTTGTTTTTTGTTTGCCTCTTTTAAGCTGTTCTAGTGGATATATAATGGTATCTCATTGTGGTTTTATTTTGCATTCCCCTAATGACAAATGGTATTGAACATGTTATCAGGTGTTTATCTGCCATCATGTGTACTCTTTGGCAAATATATCTGTTCAAATGTCTTGCTCATTTGTATTGGGTTTATTATTGAAGTTTAAGAGCTCTTAACATACTAGGGATATAAGTCTTTTAGCAGATATGTTTTGCAAATATTTTCTCTTAGTCTCAAGATAAACATGTTTTTTTTATTCTCTTTATATATTCTCTTTCAGTGTCTTTCAATGAACAGAAATTTATAATTTTGATGAAGTTCAATTTATCAATTAGTCCTTTGATGAATTGTGCTTTTTTTTAAAAAAAAGATTTTATATTTATTTATTAGAGAGAGAGAGAGAGAGAGAGAGAAACAGGTTCCATGCAGGGAGCCTGATGTGGGACTCTATCCCAGGTCTCCAGGATCACACCCTGCGTGGAAGGTGGTGCTAAACCGCTAAGCCACCGGGGCTGCCCATGAATTGTGCTTTTAATGTCATATCTAAAAACCATCAAAGTCACATAAATTTCCTATGTTTCTTAATGTTTTCCTATGTTACAAAATTTTGTAATTTTAGGGGTTTTTTTTAAGGATTATGATCTATTTTGAATTAACTTTTGTATTCGTGCAAAGTGTTGGTTAAGTTCACTTTTACTGCTTATGGATGTTCCAATTGCTCCAGCATTATTTGTGGGAAAGACTAGCTCTCTGTTCCTTTAATATAGGTGCCCATGCTTTTACCAATATCACACTGTCTTGATTAGTACAGTTTTATATTAAGTCTTGAGATTAGGTAGTGTGAGTTCTTCAAATTTGTTATTTTTCAGAATTCTTTTGGATATTCTGAGTCTTTTGCATTTTTTACAGATTCAACAACTAGCTTGTCCATCCTTGGAAAATAAATTCTGCTTGAATATTTTATTATGATTGTGCTGAATTTTTAGCTTACTCTTGGGGAGGGGGATGTTTTAATATCAAGTCTTTCAGTCCATGGACATTATATATCTCTCCATTTATTTATTTATTTATATTTTTTTAATTTTTTTTTATTTATTTATGATAGTCACACGCAGAGAGAGAGAAAGAGAGAGAGAGGCAGAGACACAGGCAGAGGGAGAAGCAGGCTCCATGCACTGGGAGCCCGACGTGGGATTTGATCCCGGGTCTCCAGGATCGCGCCCTGGGCCAAAGGCAGGCGCCAAACCACTGCGCCTCCATTTATTTAGGTCATCTTTGATTTTTTTTTTCAACAGTGTTTCAAATATTTTTGTATACAGCTATCACAACACTTTGTTAGATTTTATACCTAGGTATTTCATATTTTTTGTGCTATTGTGAATGATAGTTTAAAATTTTGATTTCCAATCTGTTTGTTGTAAATATACAGAAATACAATTGGTTTTTGCATATTGACTTTGTATCTTGCAACTTTGTTAAACTCACCAGTTAGTATAGAAAAATTTTTGTAGATTTTTTTTTGAGATTTTCTACATAGGCAATGTTGACTGGGAATAAAAGCACTTTTATTTCATTGTTTCCATTCTGTATGTCTTTTAGTTACCTTTCTTGCCTTAATACCTTTGCTAGTGCATTCAATGGGGTTCAGTAAGAGTGGTAAGAGGGGACATCGTTGTCGTGTCCCTGATCTTTGGGGTAGGTCATTCACTCTTTGACTCCTAAGTATATATAGAGAATATATATTTTTTATGATTTCAATTCTTTAAATTTGTTGAAGAGCCCAGAATATGGCCTATCCTGGTGAATACTTGATGGCTACTTGAGAAGAATGCTGATTCTGTGTTATTGAGTAGTCAAAAATGTCAATCAGATTAAGTTGACAGTGTATTAGCCAGGTAATATTGCCCAGATTTTCCATACTGCCAATGATTTTCTATCTTCTATCCACTATTGAGGAGGCAGTGTCAAAGTCTTGAAGTATATTCTGAGGATCAATCTATTTCACCTTGCAATTATATACATTTTGCTTCATGTATTTTTAATCTCTCTTGCTTAGTGCCCAAATATTTAGGATTGTTATAAATTCTTGGTTAAATAATCCCTTTTCATTATGTAATGTCTGTCTGTCTGAAAGTCACATAATCACACAAGCTTTTTGCTCTTTGTATTTTTTTTTGGACTGGTGTTTATATTGTATATCTTTTCTATAATTTTTATTTTTATCCTATTTTTGTTTTTACATTTATATTGTCTCTGTATTTAAATTGGCTTTCTTGTAGATAGTATACATATATAGTTCATGTTGCCTTTTTTGTACAATCTGACAATCCTTGTGTTTTAACTGCTATTCTTAGATCATTTGTATTTAATATGATCATTACTTAATATTAAAATCTACCATCTTCCTACTTTTTTCTATATGTTTCATCTGTTGTTTCTTTTTCCTTTTCTTACTTTTTGCTTTTGGATTTATTGTATGTATTGTATGTTTCTAGGATTCCATTTTATCTTCACTATTAACTTATAACACATTTAAAATTTTTCAGTGATTACGCTAGGATTGACAACATACAACTTTAAGTAAGCACAATCTACTTTTAAACAATATATTGCCACATTATGTACAGTGTAAGAATCTTACAACAGGATACTCCCAATCCCTTCCTCCCATATTTTATGCTATTGTCACACATTTTATTTTCACCTATACTATCAACTCACAGTACTTTGCTACTATTTTTCATTGGGTAATCAATTATCTTTAGAATGAATATGGATAAGATAAAATATATGACTTTTGTATTAATCTTCATTTTAACCATTTCTAAAAATCTTCATTTCTTTGCATAGATCCAGGTTTCTCACTGTTATCATAGCTATTTTGCCAGAAAACCATTAACATTGCATGTAGAACAGATATGCTATTACCAAAAGCTCTGTTTTTCTTTGTTTGAAAAACTCCTCATTCTCCTTCATTTTTGAAAAATATTTTATTTTGACCACATATAGTTTTCTGCATTTACCATATTTTTCTTTCAGCACTTTGAAAATAGTCAACTTTTTTTTTTTTTTTTTTTTTTTTTTTTTTTTTTTACTTCAACAGCCATCTCCAGGCCCACTTCCAGTGGTGAAGACTTTTGTTTCTTTCCCCTTCCCCTGTAGTAATGGATCTTTACCTGCGCCCTAGGGGTGACAGTGTTTAAAGCCCTTATTCTGGCAGTGTAAAACTTTTGTTACTTAGGAAACATAGGGCAAGTGGAGTTTTAGTCTTTTCTCAGAGTGGTGACTGCTCCTCTCCTCCACGCCTGCACTAACAATGATTGCATTCTTTCATTTCCCATCCTGCCTACAGTTTTCCTTAGAAGCATCTAGTGAAGTCCATTGAAAAAACCTATAAGGAAATGTGTGTTTCTTGGGTATCTGGCTTTCAGGGCTTCTTTGCACTTTTATTAGTCCACATTTGGCCTTTTAAAAAATTATCTCAATTTTTCATACTTGCCTTTATGGTGTCTGGTATGTCTTCCTCCATTGCTTTGCCAAAGATGTGCTAGTTGCCAGTTCTTGAATTCCATCTGTCCTTAAAGATAACTTTAGATTTTCCCTTAGATTTTTTTCCCTTACATTTCATGTCATTCTGTTGCCCTGTTACCTCAGCTCTCTAATTGGCTCAATAAATGTTCTGATCTTTTTCTTAGATTATCTGGCTTTTTCTTATTTTAGATAGGAATATCATCAGTTTTTCTAACTTTCTGCATCCTAGGCAGATTCCAAATGTTTTAAATCATATAGCTTCTCAAAAAGTATTTTTTAGGAACTTTACTTCATATTTTGATATTTTTATTGACAAATTATATACCATTACTGCTGCGCAAATGTTTAAATTATAAAACATACCCAAAAATAGAAATAAGAAAGGATGACATGGATACCTGGTTTGAATATAGTAACATAAACTGACTTGTCCCTATTTCTCCCTTTGGAAACCACTCAAGGAGAACTGTATTCCTCTGTGTTTCAAAGCCAAACTATTGTGAGTTGGGTGGCTCCTGCTAATAGTTACTATACCCCCTTTACTACTGTTGCAAAAAAAAAAAAGTTAATAGTTTTTTTTCACATACATAGAGATAGATATAGATATGTCTTTCACCTTTAGAAAGTGAATATTACTTGTTTTTTTCCTGATATATGCAGCCTCAGGGAAACAGTGATCTAAATAATGTTTAGATCAAAACAGATAGTGATCATCTAAATAAGCCATGTTTATTAAAAAAAAAAAAAACAATTTATTTCCAGAACAGCAGAGAAGAGGGGATCTTTGGAATTATGAAAGCAAGTCAGCCTTAGAATATTATCTTTTACCTTTGCCATAAATCCTCAAAATGTTCCAAGGAAAACCAATCTGTTTCAGTGATAAGTAATAAAAACAGAACCAGCAAAGAATATAAGCAAAGATACTAAGAAAAGGGAAAGAATGGCAAGATCTAATAAGACACGTAGATCTCTCACTAGAAATAGTAGCCAAAGTATGATAAAAAATATCACTAAACATTTACTATAACTTTTAAAAACTTAATAAAGCAAGTCAGGGTCATAGAGTAGAATTGCAAGAATCAGGGGACAGATAGTAAAAAAGCTAAATGGCAGAATTCTGGAAATAAGTAGAGTTGAAAAATAAGTTTTTAGAGAGGAAAAATGACAAAATAGATCACAGGTAAAGAAAACATATACATAAATGGAATCCCTGAAGAAAACACTGCCATTATATTCTGAGGGAAGGAGAGGGTTGTGTGTAGTAAATACAAAGATGCAAATTTATATAAAAATATAAACCAATAAAACATCTCAAAACTGTCATAAGATCTTAATGCATACATTAAACTATTAAAAGATTAAAGGCCACATTATATAATCAGAAATTGAACAAAGTGATCATAAAATTGGAGATGTTCCCTAGTAAAATTGTTTTACATCAAAGATGAAGAAGTAATTCTTTGGGCAGTCTGCACATATGAGTGGGGAAGAAAATCAAGCTGTCCTCAATCTTCTCCACAGCAGCACTCGAAAGAAAAAGACAGTGGAGCATTACTTATTAAAAAAAAAAAAATCTGGGATTTCAGGGTGGCTCCCAGGGTGTGATCCTGGAGTTCCGGGATCGAGTCCCACATCAGGCTCCCTGATGGAGCCTGCTTCTCCTTCTGCCTGTATCTCTGCTTCCCTGTGTGTGTGTGTGTGTGTGTGTGTGTGTCTCATGAATAAATAAATAAAATCTTTTTAAAAAATCTAAGAAAATGGAAGGAAAATATAAATCATAGATTCTATACCCAGCTAAAAATTCATTCATGTAAAAAGAATATAGATCAACAATTGAAAATATCAGGGATTGTTATTTCCATAAGATTTTCTTGAGAAAACTAGTCTAGAAGACAACATTTTGGCCAACATGTAGATGATTGGAAACACAAAGGGACAAACGGGCACAGAATATATTTAATCCCAGAACTAAAACTAAAGCAATTGTAGGGAATATGGTGGCAGAAAAGAAAGCACACATTATGTGTCCTAACAATGTAGAAATGATATAACTAATGAAAACTGGAAAAATGTGGAGGAAAATACCTAAGGAAGAGTAAGTATGTTGTTATCTTCAGTAATAATAGGTGATCAAAGAATAAGATGTAAAGCTGATAAACAGAAATATAAGAATCTTTAATAATGCAAATGTAAACACTGAGAAAGAGGGAACAAGTGAAATTGGGTGGTGCAGGAGAAATAGAGGATAAGAGAGATTTAATTATGATGTGATTTAATTATTTCACATTGTAAAAAAAGAATAGATCCTGGATTAAAAAAATAAAAAACAGAACTACAAAAACATAGTTACAAAGAAACCAATAGAAAGAAAGAATACAAACCTTCCTAAATCTTAGATAAAACACACATACACACATGCACAAAGGAAAAAAAAAAACATTCAATGAACAATCCTTTAAAATCTTTAAACAAGGAAAATGCAATAAAGATCATAAGAAACAACCATCACATATATGTATAATACAATAAATGTAAGTGGCCTAAAATTCTACTTTGTTTAAAAAATTAAGACTTCCAGATCGGAACACATAGCAAAACCCAATTCTTGTTCTATTCCAGAAAACAGCTGAAATTAAGTGTTCAGAAAGGTTGAAAATAAAAGTGAGTTTGAAGATCATAAAGGTAACTGTAAATATGAGACAAGGTTAGATTCAAGCCCAGAAGGCACTGAACTAAATAAAGGAGTATACTTCATAATATTAAAATGTGCAATTCACAAAAAGAAAACTAAAATAGTTCTTTTGGTGATTAACCAAATTTTATTCAGAGTATCCCATTTTGTCATGGATAATTTACGTCTGCTGCCCTGGTTTAAATTTTTATAGAAACTTCTTTCACTCTTAAAACACCAATATTTAAGATAATAAATTATACAGTCATCCTACATTCATTCCAGGAATGCAAGGATAGTTTCATACTACAAGGAAATATACTCACATAAATGCATAGAATTTCAGGATTGTTCCATTGGTGTTATAATACTGCATGCCTAGTGCAGTACTATATCCTTTTATAAGCTCTTATAAGCCTCTGCTTTTTTTCAGCATTCACTTCCTTTAGCTCACTGGATCACAGTTGTGACATATGTTCCTTTTACAGGGTCCCTTAAAAGGCTTTCTGGAAGATTTAGGCAGACTGCAAAAGAAGTTTTATGCCAAAGACGAACGGTTACTTTGCCCTATCAGGACCTACCTGGTTACAGCCAGGAGTGCAGCCAGTTCAGGCGCCCGTGTGCTGAAAACCCTTCGCCGCTGGGGTCTAGAGATAGACGAAGCTCTTTTCCTTGCTGGAGCCCCCAAAGGTCCCATTTTGGTGAAGATAAGGCCCCACATTTTCTTTGATGACCACATGTTCCACATTGAAGGGGCACAGAAGCTCGGCACCATATCAGCTCATGTACCTTATGGCATTAATCAAAAATGAACAATTAGGGGTGGAGAGGAGAAATAAAGCAGTGAGTCCGGTATTACAGAAACCACTTTTTGTGGATCTCTAGGTTATTAGATAGGTATTTCAGAAGATCAGGCCAGAACTTAGTTCATTTGGAAAAGAGGTTACCTTTTGATTTTTTTGAAAACATTTTGAACTTTCAGGTTACCTTCAACTACTTCTCTTTGAGCTGTCAGTGCTGTTGAATACAACTGCACCTACTACCCTCATGGGTAAATCATAATGATGACTCTTTAGGATAAGCTTAGTACTTGAATGCTTAAATGCTGAAAGGCTAAAGCCTAGTTGGTTTTACAAAGCATTGCTCATTTTTGGATGTTGGTAGATAGAATGAATTGTTACCCATCATCACTGTAGAATATTGGTCTTCAAGGAAGGAAAGAGTAAGGTTAAACACACTCTTGAAAATTAGAGTTTATTCTGTTGCCTCTATGACCAGCTTTTTAATCAATACAAAATTAAAAAGTCACTCCACCTGCATAAGTATACCAATTCTGAAACTGCTTATTCAGAAATAAATCGGCAGGTTATTCATATCGGGCACTTTCCATCTAAGATGAGATCCAGACAGAAGTTCCTGGGTAAGCAAGCTCCTTTGAAGCTTACCTGGTGGGTCCATTGCCTCTGGACTACAAGGCTTCATATTTGAAATCTTTAGCTCTGGGCCAGCAGGTAGGTCCAAGGTTTACACAGGAGAAAAAGCCTTGGCTGCCATTTCAAAATGTAACATAAAGTATGGTATCCTATATCCTAGACTTTCGCTGTTACCATTCTTTTATTATTTTTGTTTTGTTTTCAAGAAACATTGACCAGTTTTTAACCATAATCCATTTTATAATAGGCACAGTGAGCTGGTTATTTTCATGCCACCTCATTTTCTTACAAATCAAATGTTTGTAACAGAGTATTATTATTATTACCCCCATTTTTATCAACGAAGAACTTAATACTCACAAAGAAAAAGTAGCTTGTCCCATAATGTGCAGCTAATAAATGGCAGAACTAAGATCCAAAATCAGGCCTTAACTTCAAAAGCTATATTCTGTCTACCCTCTCTATGTTATAGAGCCTTCCACATCAAGTTGTTCTTATTAATTCCATGGCCAAAGGACCCATCTTGAACAGATTAGTCTTTCCATTAAGTTCTATGCTTGAAGTACACAGCAGTTACATAGCAGATCTGGGGATTTCCTTCCTCCTCCTCTCCTCTTCATGCCCTCTCCTGTTCTTTCTATCCCCACCTCTATCTCTAGTGCACTATGTATACATACTCCACCCCAGCTCTACCTCGAGAAAACTGCTGCTTGACATATAGCTTTTGCCCTGCTTCTTAATTTGATGTAAGCTAGTCCAACATATATCAGTTATGACCCTCATTCAGTACCTACTACTTTCTATGCGTTCTTCAGTGTGAAGACGACAAAAGAAACTCAGACATAATCCCATCCTTTAGGAAATTGAAAATCTCAAAAAAAATCTGGTAAAGTAACTCAAGCATGAAAACTGATATAGTCAACACAAGAGGGCTTTTTTGTCCTCAGTACCAAGAGAAGGTCACAAAGGTAGAGATCTGCATGGGCTGGAAGTGGTCAGACCATAGAATTGAGGTCCTCTTTGAAGTAAAAGTATGGATAGATAGAAAAAGAGGAAACAGATGCTCTGGGATCATTGACTTTGAGAGGCAGCTTCAAATTACAGAAAGGGTGGAATAAGGGCCCATCCCTGGTGATTTCTGCTCTGGTGCCTTGTGGAATCACCAGGGACAGTGCTCCTCTCCACCTGTGAGCTCCATCTTCAGCACTCACCTGAAACCTTCTCCTGACATTCTAACCCTCTTCTATTTGTAATGCGACTGTTCACTGCATGTTATATCCTTCCCCAATGTACAGGAGTGAAGAAGTGTCTATCAAAATAATGTAGGGAGTTTATTTCAAACTACACAGGCTGTGTGTCTCTTCTCTTGCCCTGAAGATTCTATAACGGGGGCTGTGGCAGTGGAGGTCTCTGTACCAGACGATAAGCACCTGCAGGGCAGAAATGGCATCCTATTTCTCTGTGACTCTCACAGGGCTCGGGGTCTGGCGCATATTGGATGCGTGAGTAGATGAATGAATGATGACTTGAGAAAAGCTTGGTCAAAAGCTATGACATTTGCAGCCTGAAGATGGGTCCCTGTGGCAATAAGCCCTGACAGTCTTCAATCACTTTACAGTGTACAAAGCACTTGCACTTCCATTATTACATTTAATCGTCTCCTGGAGCGTGCGTGGAAGCCCTTGTGAACGGACCTCCTCAGAAGTGTGTGTCTACAGTAAGTCCAGGCTTTCCCAGGGTATCTCGAGCAGCATCGCCTAAGACCGCTGGAGGATGACTCTTGCTATAGACATCAACACCGCCGTGGTTTTCAGTTCTCAGGCTGTGGTCCATCAACCAGCAGCGTCGGGATCACCTGGGAACTTGTTGGAAATGCGAAGTCTCAGGTCCCATCTGGAACCCGTTGAAGCCTAAACTCTGGTACCCAGATCCTTCAACTGGGGGAGGCGGGGCGGGAGGGTTGTGTTGTTTTTACGAGCTCTGCAGGGGATCCGGACACGACACTAAAGCCTGAGAACCACCGGTCCATTCTGTCTCCCACTGGTTCATGCTGCTAAGTTCTTCGCCTCATCATAATAAAAAAGAGCCCTTCCTCAGACCCCAGAAGGGCGGACATCACTCGTTCTCCGGAGGGTGAAAGGCACCAGCACTGAGGGGGTAACAAGTTCCGGGGGTCCTTAACAGGAAAGCACACCAAGCAAGCCCTGATATGTGGGGTTTGCAACCTCAAAATATTCATTAGGTATTGCCATGGGGTCGACCACCACCGCTCTGGGTGCTGTGCTCACCCTCCACGCTCAGGCTGGGGGCCGGCTCCTTGGAGTCACCGCGACCCGGGGCGCCTAGTCCCCTCACCAATCCGGGGCCCTCGGAAGGAAAACTACAAGTCCCAGCATGCCCCACGCCGCTCCGTCAGACGGCGACAGGCCCCGCCCCAGAGTTCCCGGCGTGCAGGTGACGGCCTCAGCCCCGGGCTTGTGGCGACTCCGGAAGTCCCGCGCGGGGGCCGGTGGGCCCTTGGCCCCGGCGGCTATGGCCGTGGCCGCGGTAGCGGCACTCCTGGCCGCACTGAGTGGGGTCCTGTGGCTGGCGGCCCGGCGGTTCGTGGGGCCCGGCGTCCAGCAGCTGCACGGAGGCGGGGACTCGGGCCTCATGCACGGGAAGACCGTGCTGATCACCGGGGCGAACAGCGGCCTGGGCCGCGCCACCGCCGCCGCGCTGCTGCGCCTGGGCGCGCGGGTGATCATGGGCTGCCGCGACCGCGCGCGCGCCGAGGAGGCGGCGGGGCAGCTCCGCCGCGAGCTGCGCCAGGCCGGGGGCCGCGAGCCGGGCTCTGACGTCGGCGCGGCCGGCGAGCTCGTCGTCAGGGAGCTGGACCTCGCCTCGCTGCGCTCGGTGCGCGCCTTCTGTCAGGAGGTGCTCCAGGTGTGGGGCTCCGGGGGCCGCGCGGACGGGGTGTGACCTTGGGAAGGACCGAGCCAGGTGCTTCGCGAGGGCCGGGGAAATGCGTGAGACAGGCCTCTGTTTGCCAGAGATGCTGAGGAAACAATGGCCCCCAGAGGAAGAAAATAAGCAGGTTCTCGACATTTTCTTCTGTCACGTGAGGACGGCCCAGGCGGGGATCCGCCAGGTCTTCCTCTTGTTTTTTTTTTTTTTTTTTTTTCCTGTGTCCGCAGTGAGTGCACCAAGCCTTCTTTCAGGGAGCCTGAGAGCCAGGGACCTTGAAGGTTTTTTTTTTTGTTTTGTTTTTTGTTTTTTGATTTATCTTGATTTGTTTACTTATCTTGAAGTATTTATTTATTTACCTTGAAGTATTTATTCATTTTTTTTTTACCTTGAAGTATTTCATTCATTCATTCATTCATTCATTCATTTTCTCTCTCTCCTGCTAGGGTAGGAGGTTTGGCTCTCTGCCACCACTGGACTCACTACACCACCTCCTTAAACAGTCTCTGGCCCGATTTCTAAATACACTGGAGCTTGGAATCCCAGTAGCCATGTGCCCTAACAGGGACAGAAATAAATTTAATACTGAGTATTTATTGAAGGTTTCCTATGTGCCAGGAGCTGTTCCAAGAATTTCAGATATTTTAATTTTTTTTTCTTTTAATGAAATTAGAGTGCCCTTGGCTGCTATTGGCATTGAATCCTCAGTAACCCTGGTAGGCATTGTTTTTTCTTTTTTTTTCTTTTTTTTTCTTTTTTTTTTTTAAGATTTTTAGTTATTTATTCATGAGAGATACAGAGAGAGGCAGGCTCCATGCAGGGAGCGGGATGTGGGACTCAATCCTAGGTCTCCGGGATCACGCCGTGGGCTGCATGCCGGGCCCTAAACCACTGAGCCCTCAGGGCTGTCCCCTGGTAGGCATTACGATCCCCATTTTACATTAGGCAACAAAGGCATAAGTAGGCAAATAATTTACCCAAGATCTGTCTCCAAAGCTCTTGCTTTCAACTGCTATACTCCTGCTGCCTGCCAGTGAGGTGTAGGATTTCTGTTTAGATAATAAATATTCCACTGAAGTGGATGTCCTCTGTTGAAATTGAGATTAGGAGAGTTTCCTGCAGAGGTGACTTACAAAAAGGCATATAGCAGAGTGAAATTGAGAATTTGCCAGCATGGGAAAGCTGTATGCTATATAAAATGGAGCCTCTTGAGTCTACAGCAGAGGTTCCCAAACTCGCTGTTTTTTCATGATAACCAGTAGGCCGAAGGAAATATCTATCAGTTCATGGAATAACTAGGTCCAAACAACCTAATATGTATTTATGTCCAAACAACTTAGTAGCTGTTTGAAAAAATAATACACATAATTGAGAGGAAAAAAGGATATTTCATTCTTTAGTAACCATGATTACTACCGAGAAATGTGCACTTGTTCACTGCACCAACTCCTCACTCTTTGGAATCAGATTGGAAATGTCCATGCTCATTTCTTGCTCTACATCGATTTTTGTTTTAAAGATTTTTTAAATTTATTTATTCATGAGAAACGCATACAGATAGAGGCAGAGACACAGGCAGAGGGAGAAGCAGGCTCCACCCAGGGAGCAGGACATGGGACTCGATCCCGGGACTCCAGGATCACGCCCTGGGCTGAAGGTGGCGCTAAACCGCTGAGCCACCCGGGCTGCCCTGGATTTTTAACATTGTACTAAAAACTCAGCTTTGCGAAGATAGGACACCTTTGAAAGGAATTTAGCACAATTTGATGTTGAAGGTATGACCCACCTGCAGCTATTAGTTCTTGAGATGTTGAATGAAGTATCACTTTTTTTTTCTCTGGAAAATCTAAAATTATCCATAGCACCCTATGGAGTTCCTTGTGAGCCTCTGGGGCATCTTGATGCAGTTTGCAAACTCTTGTAGATCTGGAGAAGTTGTTTGTTCTTTTGTCATAATGGCTAGTATTTCATTATCACGTAAAACAGGTTAAGAAATAAATAATACTAGCGTATAAAAGATGTTGAAGCGTTAAAAGTGGGTCTTCCTATTGTCCATTAAAAATGTAGATGCGTTCGGGTATGTTTCTCATTTCTGATACTTAAGGCATTTTATTACTTTGGCCACTTGAGACAGAACCTATTAAAAGTTAAGGAGATAAATTTTACTAAATTTCTTTCTGTCTCTGAAGTCCTGTGACTATACCCAGAATTTTTTTTTTTTTTTTTAAGTGGAAGTGTAGATTTCCCACAGGTTGGTATTCAGGATATTTATGTCATTTATCTCCTAGAATTTAAAAAATAGTGAATGATAAAGTCTTAAAATAACACAAGCCGAGCAAAGAATGATGGTTCAGAAATGATTAATACAGGAAACTCGTCCAAAGGATTAGTTAAAAAAGAACACTCCTTTCTTTCCCCCACGGGTGAACTTTTGCCTTCTTTTTGAAGTTGACTGTTGGAAAAGCCAAAGGTGCTTAGACAGACAGAATGATAAATAGTTAATCCTCTGACAGGTAGGCTGTGATAACAGTTGTGAAATTTAACACATTTTTCTTTTTACTTAGACTTGGCAAAAGGGCCAGTGAAATTTGAAATTTGACCTCAAATTGATTTAATCGTAGGTCATCACTGTGTCTTTACACCTGGAACATGTTGTACATTTCTTTTCCTCTGCCCATCAAAAGAGACAGAGAGGAGCCAGGAAAGGGCTAGGGAAAACCAACTTATATGAATTAGGGAATGAAAAGACTTCCTTTTTAGGACAGTCTGAATTTTAGCGTAGTACTAAAATTGGACAAATTTTGGTACTGGACATGGACAAAGTGCAAAATTCTGACTAGATAGATTCCCTAAGCCAGGGGCCCCTCAGAGTTCAAAAACAGATTTTATATAGCGAAAAAAAGAACTGAATTCTAGATTTATAATAAAAGGTAAAGGTGTTTGTTGGTCCTAACTCCTTTCTAAAGGTCCTTTGCTATTATTGTGAGACTTTGTATTTGTGATTCATTGTTTTGTTTGCGATATTTTTACATTACCTATTTGCTTTCATAACATTTCTACTTTTGACATTCTCTCCAGTTTTAATTTGCATTCCTGACCCTTTCTGTTGCTTGTCCCAGTTTTAAGGAAACCACTTGAAGTTGTTCCATCCCTGTCATACCATTTGCCCTTAGAAAAGTACAGAGCAAAGCAATTCTAGTTTGTCCCTGGTGTTGATAATAGCTCTGGGAATAAACAATGCCGACCTGCCTTCTGCCAGATTTCCACTTTCTAGCTCACTTAGACTCTATAGCTATGGTGTGAAACTCCCAATTAGACAAGCAGCTAGCTTACTAATTAAAAACAGGGGCATTGGTATCAGCAGATTTCATCTTCCAGTTTTTGTTTGCCACTAAGAGCCCTGTGATACTGCACAAAGCACCTACCTTGGGTGCTTCAGTTTGCTCATAGAGTTGATGAGGGAAGGAAGGTGAGAGAGCACAAGGCCTGGCCCCTATTAAACATGCAAGCCTTTCCCTCTCCCTCCCCCTCTCAGTTGTTGAAAATCCACAGAGGCACTTCATAGAATTTTAGTAGTTTGCAAGAATTTTTAAAAATCTCATTTTAGGTCTGTGTTCATAATTGTCCTATTCTCTTTTTTGACATTTAAAGGAAGAACCTAGACTGGACGTCTTAATCAACAACGCAGGGATCTTCCAGTGCCCTTACATGAAGACCGAAGATGGGTTTGAGATGCAGTTTGGAGTGAACCATCTGGGGCACTTTCTACTCACCAATCTTCTCCTTGGACTTCTCAAAAATTCAGCTCCTAGCAGGATTGTGGTAGTTTCTTCCAAACTTTATAAATATGGAGACATCAACTTTGAAGACTTGAACAGTGAACAGAGCTATAATAAAAGCTTTTGTTATAGTCGGAGCAAACTGGCTAACATTCTTTTTACCAGAGAACTAGCCCGCCGCTTAGAAGGCACAAACGTTACTGTCAACGTATTACATCCTGGTATTGTGCGGACGAATCTTGGCAGGCACATACACATTCCACTGTTGGTCAGACCACTTTTCAATTTGGTGTCCTGGGCTTTTTTCAAAACCCCAGTAGAAGGCGCCCAGACTTCAGTTTATCTAGCCTCTTCACCTGAGGTAGAGGGTGTGTCAGGAAAGTACTTTGGAGATTGTAAAGAGGAAGAGCTATTGCCGAAAGCTATGGATGAGTCTGTTGCTAGAAAACTCTGGGACATCA